TTAACTAGCTTAATAGTGCTCTTCTTCTAAAGCTTTAGATAGTTAGTAAGCTAGCTTTAAATAAAGTACTTAGAGATAAGTAGCTAGCCTTAGATACTATAAAGGTAGTTAGCTATTTCTTTAACCTATAATAGTAAGGCTAAAAAGCTAGACTTATAGAGCTATATAATAAGGGAATTAATAGGGGGGTGTCATAAATTGATACAGGGGCATTGCTTTTACAGGGGCGTTACTATCTGTTGTATCTAATTAGTTAAAAAAAAAGTACCTCCCTATAAAGGCAGTAAGGGGAATTACACTAACACTGCTATTCTACTATTCTATTCTACTATTAACTAATTAACCTACATGGCCGTAGGAAACAGTCTCTATAAGGGGGTTCTTTTTACAGCTGTAGGAAATAGCCTCTATAAGAAGGGCCCTCTTTACGGCTGTGAAAATAACCCTCTTATAGAGCCTGTTTCCCACGGCTGTAAAGGTTGCCCCTCTTGCTAGGCCTATTTCCTACAGCCGTGAAAATAACCCCCTTATAGAGCCTACTTCCTATAGCTATAAAGGTTGCCCCTTTTGCTAGGCCTACTTCTTATAGCTATAAAAAGAGCCCCCCTATTAAGCCTACTTCCTATAGCTATAAAGGTTAGCCCTCTTGCTAGGCCTATTTCCTATTTACCCTAAGAAAAGTAACTATTTTTATATTTAAAATACCTACTACCTAGCTACCTTCTTATAATATAGCTATAAGGATTTATTATTACTACTAACTATTTCCTACTAACTCTATGTCCTCTAAATACTAGGCTAAAGTAGCTATCTACTTATATAATTCTCTATTATTCTTCCTCTACTAAGAACACTAGACTAGCTTCTTGTTTATTACTAGGATAAGGTTAAAATCTAGCTTTAACTTAGTTAACTTTTCTCTTGTATAGACCTAGCTAGTGTTAACTTATTCCTACTTCTATATAGGTAACCTTACTTTTTACCTTTTATACTTTAGCTCTTACTAAGGGTATAGGTTTAGCTAGTTAAGTAGCTTTCTTCTAGTAAAGATAGTTATAATAGGATAGGCTACACTATATTCTTTAGCCTACTACAGAGGGATACTATAATCTTAGGATTAAGGATCTAGTGGTATAGATTAGAAGAAGATGTCTCCTAAAGACACTACTAGGGGTATACCTTTTACTTGCTAAAAGCTACTAAATTAAGTATCTTAGTAAAGATCTTATAGTAGCATAGGATACTAAGCTTAGTTAAAATAGTATAGTCTAGACTATATTCTCTAATAAGGTCTAGGAATAGTCTTTTACTAAAAGGTATTACTTTTTTTACTAACTAGTATTACTTCTTAATTAACGCTAGACACTTTAAGGAAAGCAGTGTATAAAGTTTACTAAAGAGCTTAAGGTAAAGACCTATATACTCTTAGCCTTAAAGGACTTTATCTTTTATATATATTTACCTAAAGTGTAGCACCTAGTTACTAATTATATCTTATATAATATTAATAAGTTAATATAGGTAACTAAGACTATTTAAGAGATAGCCTTTAATATTATTATTACTTAACTTTATACTAGAGGTAATATAAACACTAAAGTTCTAGTATTTTTAGATAAAGCAGTAAGCCTACTATACCCTTAAAGGTAAGTATATTATATAGAGGTACTAGAGAATTAGGCGTTAGTTAATAAACTCTTTATAAAGCTTAGTCTAAGCTTCCTTAAAGGTGTACTTAGTCTTAGTAAAAATAATATACTTCTATATTATAAGGACCCTATAATATATATAAAGGGGGGCATCTACTAGTATATTAATATAAGCCTAGTCCTTATTACTAAGCTAGGCTATTACTAGTGTTATTAGCTAATAGGCCTTATTATTAAACCTACTACTATTACTACTATAGGTGTAGTCTTTAAGCTACTTTTACTTAGCCTTAAGTATAATGTTAAAGTTAATATAGTAGATATAGAGTTATTACTAGACGCTAGGGAACTACTTATTTAGTATAGCCTTTATTTATTTATTATAGTCTATAATAATAATAGTAAGGTAATAGACTAAGTATTAGTCTATAAGTTAGTAGATACTTACTAAGAGAAACTAAAAACCCTTTAGCCTCTTGTTATTAATAAGGCTAAATATAGTATTATAAATAGATCTAAGGCAAGTTTATCTAGTGGCCTAGAAGAGTAAGAGTTTAAAGTAATTAGTGTTATAGGTGTTATTAAAACTAATTACTTTAGGGAATTACTTCTATATTTAAAGATAGTAAAAAAAGGTCTAGATAAGACTAATAAGGCAGTTTAGCTTATTATCTGCCTACTTTACTATATATAGGATATCTTGCTTATTAAATAGCTTTATTAAAGCAGTAGTTAGTAAATACCTGCCTAGCTTCTCTTAGTTTATATAAGCCTTAGTATTATAGATATCTTGTTAGGTAAATAAGGTATCTAAGAACTACTATTAAACAATAGCGTATATATCCTATGCCTAGATACTAACTCTTTAGCTTATTATATTAATAGAGTCTATTATAGGCTAAGTAAGCCTATAATAAAAAGGATATATAGAGGCTTTAAGGCTAAGGCTATAGTTATACTAACTGTACTAGGTTACTAGATAATAATATAATAGCTACTTGCCTTCCTCTTAGGCCTTTATAATAATCTACTATTAATAACTATATTTCTAAGATATACACTATTAAATACTATTACCCCTTAGTAGTCTAAGGCTTCTAAATTAGTTATATTAGAAGGTATAGTATATAATTTAGCCTTAAGCTTTATACTAGTTCCTTTTTATAATACTAAATCTATTAGCTTTTATAAAGGTATTAACTTAATTAAAAAGGGCGTTAGAGGTTTATTCTAGATTACTAGGTATTAGTAGGTTTAGGATAGTAGATATAGGAGGAGAGGAGGATTAGTTGCATAGGGTATAGTAGGAGGCTATAGTTTAGAAAGACACTTTACTTTAAGGGGAAGATTATTATTAAGGTAGTAAATAGGGTAGTAGATTAGCTTAAGGACCTTATTATTCTTACTATTAATAGATATACTCTTGTTATTAAAGGAGTACTATTATTAGCTATTAATTAGTCTTAATAACCTATTAAACAAGGTTAAGAGCACTATTAAACTACTATATAGTAGGATAAAGAGGTTACTAGGACTACTTATAAAGAGGAAAAAGGCTACACTCTAGAAAAAGTCAAAAGAGAATAGTCTACTAAGTTTTTATTATCCCCTTAAGGAAATAGTAAGTAAAGTAAAGTGTTAGCTTTATACTAAGGTAATATAGTTTATAGTATAAAAGAGGTTATATATCTTATAGTAAGCTTAATAGGAGCTTAGCTAGAAGGTTACACTGCCCCTTAGGATTACTAGCTCTATAGAACTAGCTAACACTAGGACAGCTGCTTTTAGAGAAGGAAGATAATAGTAGGTAGCTAGATAATAGTAGTAGATTATAATTAATCACTAGTTACTCTCTTAAGATAGAACCTAAGGTAGGAGGGTAAGTAGGTTACGTTTTACGCTATAGAACACATTATAAAGCTATTATAAGTAAATAGTATAGATAAAACTAAGACTAAATTAGCCTTTTATACTAGTAAAGAGGATTAAAAGGGATAAGATACCTTCTATAGGTCTAGTAGAATTTAACTACACTAATAATACTTTTTTTAACTAATTAGATACAATAGATGGCAATGCCCCTATAAGAGTAACGCCCCTGTATTAATTTACGATGCCCCCCTATTAATTCCCTATAATAAATACACTAAGAGCTATATCTTTAGCCTCTATAAGTAACTAGGGCTAGTTACCCTTATCTAGGCTAACGTAAAGGTTATAGCTAGCCTAAAGAGCCTAGAGATACTAGTAAATAAAAGTATTAGATATATTATACTACTAGGTAAGTTAGTAGATAAAGGGTACAGTAGATAGCTTTTTACTAGGCTAGTTAAATTAGCTAGCCTATTACTAAGCAGTAAATATTACTTTAGTAGCTTTTTTAGTAGTAGTTATATTCTTATTATATTAGTAGGGTATATTAAAGGGTTAAAGTAGGGTAAGTAGTTTAGTTACTGTTAATATCTATTAATAATATATCTAAATAATTACTTGTTTTTAGTAAGAATATAATAAAAAGTAGGACAGGGCAGGGACTAGGTGTAACCCCCCTTTTCTTACTGTAACCCCCCTTTTTTTGCCCCCTCTGTGAGGAGGGGGTGTTTAGCTTTGACGAAGGCTGACTAACACCCCCGGGTATCCCTATTTTTACATTCATCCCGTGCCCTGTCCCCCAGTGCCACCGGTCTCCCCGATCTCCTCCGTAACCCCGACGTTGGGGAGAGAGCACAATGGGGCTCAGAGCCTAGATAGAATTGCATCGGTGAGCTCGGACGCACAGAGTTCTATGCCGAGAGTGGCCAGATGACCGGCTATTTCATCTACCAAAGTACATATATATATGTACGAAGACCCAGTAACTTACTGAGGAAAAAAAGGGCCTTCGTCTCCCGGTCAAAGCTCCATCTTGCTAGTGTATGAATTGATAATTTCTAGGTCATTTGCCCCAATAACTGCTGGGAGCTGCACTGGAGCGCGGCTCCTCACTGTGTTGCTTGATGACTCAAGTTCTTGGATAATCTCTCATCTAGTCCTCATCTTTTACCGCACTCAGCCCTAATATACGTGCGTATCTAGGCGATCATGGCATACGCCTGCATTAGTCATCTTGCTGCGGGCGTCGATATCATAGGCAGGCTCCTGATGCAGCTGATTGAGTACTCCGTACGTGCCGTGATATAAGCCATATTAATTGCGCAGTGGAAATTACGGGTCCGCTTTTGTATTCTTCCCATTTGACCCCTCCCGGCCTAGTCGACCGTTGCACAAGCTGGTCCAGCCAGCTTCGAAATCATGTCGACGGAACTGGCAAAAGTGGAAGACGGGAAAGGACATCTCCTTGGCCCCCAAGGAATGTCCTCAACGCCCCGTCTAGAACCATTATGCAGGCGCTGCTCCACGATTCCCCTCACTCCCGACGCGCAAAAAGCAGGGATCGACAATGTGGAGTTCGAGAGCAGAGGCGGAGTATGGCTGCTCGGGCCTGGTACGAGAGTTCAGAACAGAAACTGCCCTTTTTGCAAACTGGTCACCCGTGCGTTCAGCATTCTATACCAAACAGACGCAGCGAAGAAGGAGACGGCGTTCTCAATGAGAGAGGCCGTTGAGGTTCTGGAATTCCGAAGAAGCGGCCCAGGAGGTCGCAGAGGGTTTACCATCGACGGAGCAACATTGCAGAACTGGATCTGCCAGGTCGAAACCATACCGTTTTCACCCAAAAAACGCTCCCTACGCATACCTCAAACCCGTGATCGAAAGCATCTTTGATGTCGGCCGTCTTTCGAAATGGATATCAGTTTGTTCGGCGTTTCATGGAGAAAATTGCTCCGTCATCGCACAGGACTTCTCCACAGCTTTTCCTGGACTGTTTGTATTGCGACTTATCGATATCCAGGAAGAATGCCTCGTGGAGCTGCGGACAGTTCCACAGTACGTTGCACTCAGTTACGTATGGGGTGAAGTGCCTAGTGTCCGGCTTTCGGCGGCCAATAAATCCCAGTTGCTGCGACGTGGAGGCCTCAAATCGGCGTGGAATGCTTTGCCACGAACCATTACGGGTGCGTTCGAGTTAGTACGGAGGCTCGGAGCGCGATACCTTTGGATCGACGCCTTGTGCCTGTTGCAGAACGATCCGACGGACCTAGACCGCGGTGTCAACGTCATGGATCGGATTTATGAGTTGTCGTGGTTGACTATCGTGGCCGCCTGCGGACATAATGCTGACGCTGGCTTACCGGGCATCGGGGAAGGAAGCCGGTCTGAGATAAATACGGCATTTCCCATCGTGGAAGGCGTATCTATGGGGATATATGTTCCCCTCGATAGACTTTTGAAGTGTTCGGTCTACTCCACGAGAGCTTGGACGTAAGGACTAATCCCCATCTTCCTGATATTCACAGCCTTATGCCCATTGAACTAACATCTTTAATGAAGGTTTCAAGAACAGGTATTAGCGCGACGTATCGTCTATTTTATAGACAATAAGGTCTTTTTTCGTTGTAGAAAGGACGTGTACGCAGAACAACTCGTCGATCGCACCGTTCAACCATGCGGCAATAGATTGTTAGATGAATCTCGGACATCGATGCTTCATCTTGCGGCAAACCTGGAGACACCAATATACGACTTTGTAGCCATGCTCGTGTACTACACCCAAAGAGTCTTGACGGACCAGAATGATGTACTCCGTGCGGTGGCGGGCATAATTCGGAGGGTATCTGACAAAGCAAAATGTCTATTCTTCCAAGGAATCCCGACTGCCGCTTTCGACGCGTTCCTGATATTCACCGGTGCGAGCAATCCACTACGTAGGCGCCGGGGATTTCCGAGTTATACATGGGCTGGGTGGAGGGGACGAATACTTAACACACCTGCGGGTGTGCGGCTGTTTGTTGACATCAATAAGTGGCTGTTGGAAGAGACGTGGATCGTGTGGTACAAAAGGAGTCCCTCAGGCGCCGTCAGTCTTGTCTGGGACCCCTCGGCAAACGAAGCCTTCCCGTTTGAGGACCCCGGCTTCGAAGGATATAGGAAACGACAGCAATTCCAGCCGCCAGAGGGTTTATTAGGCGGAATTTCGGTGTCCAGAACACACCCCACGGAAAACTTGCACTACCCGCTCCCCAGGCTTGGCTATCCCTTGTTGCAGTTCTGGACTTTGTCATTGAACTTCAAGCTTCGAGTGAAAGATATATTTGTGGGAGTAGCGTCGATTGTGGCTCGATACGGCAACGTGGCGGGTGAGACACGGCTGGATGCATTGGACGAGACGTCAATACATGAATCTGAGGGGCCATTTGAGTTTGCCCTGCTCTCCGGTGCCTGGATGTGGGCGCCTTCTCCAAAATCCGGTTCAGAAAGCCTACAGCCGAGATACTTCGTGATGCTCCTCGAATGGGATGGTCCAATTGCTGAACGGCGAGGAATAGGATGGATTGATAGATCGGCGGTTGAAGAAGGTTTCGGTCCTGGACCGGAGTGGAAGGAGTTTATCCTCAAGTGACACGCTATTATTTATACCATTGGATACATATTGAACTAGGATTTAATCCGTTTCCTTTGAGCAACGGATTCTTGAATAACGAGATCTAATTATATCAGCTTCATGTTGTAAACTTTCATTAGGACAGCTGGAGACTTCGCATTAGCTCGAGGTGTTATAGTAGTGATATTGGGCTTGCCAAATACACAAATTTATTACTTATCTATAAAGATTTAAAGGCAAAAGGAGAAACGACATTAGTAAAGCTAGCTCCAGTAGCTTAGCCTTAGTCGTCGGCGTGCCACCGCAGTACCCGGCACTCTATCCCGGTGCCTAGCCTAACTGAACCACGTTGCCCGCTCGGAATCCCGCCGAGTGCCCAGATGAGTAGCCTTTCTGGTTCGTATAGACCCGTTTCCCGGTTTGTTCGTCTACAAAATCGCAATTGTAATGTGTATGGCCGAACGCCCATAGCTTGACCTTGGGGCTCTCCCAGCAGAGCTGACCGCGCACGTCCGTTGAAAAGCCGGACTGCAGGTTGCTGTTGGCATGCAATGGCTCGACGGCACGACTGTTCTCGGTCGGGCTATGGTGCGTGAGGATAGCGATAGTACGACGGGGGTCTCGTGTTATGGCCTTGACCCTTGAATTGAGCCATGCCAGGTCCTCATTATGTCTTTGGCAATGCTCTTCGACGGTCCAGTCATCAATCGCCCAAAAGTCGTTGAGCCCGTTGCTGACTGCCGTGAGCTTGGAGTCGGGCACGTTAGAGAAGAGCGTGCAGCCAAGTATAGTGACGTTGGTGTCGGGGATCATGTACTCTCTCTGGTACATGAGAACGTACTCTCCTAGTCCGGCTGATGGGTCTTCTTCTCTGTTTCTTCGATTGACCTCTTGGAAGTTTTGCAATCTTTCAATAGTATCGTCCCAACTGGAGCCGTAAGGCTCATGGTTGCCGAGAACGTGGAAAACAATGCGGAAAGCAGTGAGCTGCCTGTCGAGAAAATCGACGAAGCTAGCATCTTTGACGCATCCAACGTCTCCAAGAAGGGCGAGGTATGGTGCATTTGGTTCAATAGGGTAGCTTTTATAGTCTTGGTGGCTCAGGTGAAGATCTGACATGATCTGAATGGACGCCATTTTTGTTTTCGAATTCTGCGCTGTACACTGTGATTGAGAGATATAGCCGTCTTCCATGTTTTCTGTGTAGGGAGCCCACCTTTTTGTTCATGGATAGTTCCGAGATCTTAAAGTTTGGCCGTCCCGCGTCTTGGAGGAGTGACTCACTCCACCCGAGGAGTGAAGCGCCAGGTCTGGGTTTCCGCCTTTGGCCATTTAGAACTTACAATTGTCAACGCTAGATTTGCCAAATGGAACATCGAAGAACAAGCGGTATGCTTGTGGCGTCATTGCATCTGCTTCGTATAACATTAGATATGGTTTCAAGTACTCGTCATGTTCACGAACAGCTAGTAGCCTGTGTGGACTTGCACACAGCTCTGTGCAATAACCATATCCAAATCCAATTCATCTGCGTGCTATGTCCGGTCGTTTTAACTTTGTCTGGCTCCGTGCTACGTAGAATGATTCAGCTGGCCCAGCACGGGGAAGTCCATAGAAGTCCTATTCTTCTAATTTCTAGTCCTTGGCCCATTTCTATGGATAGAAACCCGTTGTTCTAGGCCCATTTTGATATCTAGTATGTGGCGGGCATGAGGCTCAACCGACCGCCATCTGTAACCATGATGGAACCATTGCAGTAGCTTCCAGAGCGACCCGCAAGGTACAAGATAGTCCCGGCCATTTCCTCGTCCCCGCCAAATCTTCGGGCAGGAATGAACCTCTCGTCATCAGTCGCCTCGTTCTCAGGCTTGCGGTCACCAATCATTCCCGCTGCTATGTCCGAAGGAAACACTACAAAGTTCAATCAAATTAGTCTTTCCAGCCTTCTTCACGCCCATACGTTGTCCCTGTGTAGGATGGGAGGGCTTACATCCCGGGGCCAGGCCGTTGGCACGGATGCCAAGTCTGCCTAGCTGGCTACTGGCGTGCTTTGTGATGTGCATGATTGCGACTTTGCTTGCCATGTACGGAGGCGAGGAAGCGTAGTGTCGGCTGTAGGCGGAAATGCTGCTGGTGAAGACGACCTGGCTCTGGATGGCTACTACATCGCTTCCCTCCTTGTCGGGCTTGCCAAAGCCGCCCTTGAGCGCGTTCTTGTTCCCGGCATCGAGCAGCTCGAGGAAAGCCGACATGGTGAAGAAGGCGGCAGTGACGTTGACATTCAAGACCTCGGTCATGTCTCCCATGGAAAAGTCGGTGAAGAGAACCTTGCGCAGCTCCGAGACTGAAAGGGACGGATTGTAGCGGACCGAGGGCCCGACGACGCCGGAGTTGGCGACGACGAGATTGACGTATCCGACCTCCTTGGTGACGCGGTCGACAGCCGCCTGGAGGTCTTCCTTCGAGGTGACATCGCACTTGTGCGGGATTATGTTGGGATGACCCTTGGCGGCGTCTTCGAGCACATTGAGACGCCGTCCCAGGATGTACACCTTCGCGGCGCCATGGGTGGCGAGAGCCTTAGCCATGATGAGGCCGATGCCTCGAAAACGCTTTGTGAGTACCACCACTGTTTTGGACGATGAGCACAGAGAGACATACCAGTGCCTCCACCGGTGATGACGGCCACCATGCCATCGACTCTGAAGAGCGCATTATAGTCCATTTTTGTCTATTTGATCCTCCTCGTGAAGGGTCTCGGTGATAACAATTCAATCAATGCGGGGAGCGTTGTAAAATAACGAAACTAGACAAGAGTGTGTGTTGTCGGACTCCGCCATTTTATACTTTCCGGACCCGCGCTGAAGTGTCCGGACAATTCCACCCACATGCGTGTCCAACAAGTAGGTCTGTGGCCGGGTCCAAGAACAAAGGCGGCTCTCGTAAGGTTCGTCCCGGCAACTCAACAGGGCACATGACAGGCCGATGTCGCCCCACTGATCATGTCGTGGATGATTGGACGGGAAGCTTGCCCGCGATGTGGCTTAGGGTTAGTTTGACGCGATCGACAAGATGCACAGGGATTCAAGAAAGTGCATCGTCTGTCGGGATCCAGACTCTAGTTCTATTCCTGCTCTCTATGAGAGAGCTGCCTGCTAGTGTTTTGACTGCTTGCGCTTCTTTCGCTGCCGCAGAATCGCCAGTCGCATCTCTGCCTGTCGAAGCGCCAACTGCGTCTCTGCCAATAGAATTTGATCATCCAGATCGTCGCCGTCATCATCGTCAATCTCATACGCGACCTTCCGAACTGTGCCCTTTTGACCTGTGCCCTTCTCGCCCACGTCCTGCTCGGATCCGTCTTCAGCCGGTCGTTTGCCCTTTGGAAGGCTGTTACCCGTCACTCGGGGAGACTCTTCGGTCTTGCCATGGCCTGTTTGGAGAGACTGTTGTGGCGAGGTGGTCTTTTGATAATTAGACTGTTGTGTCTTGATCGAGTGCTGACGTTGATTCCCGACAGCGTGGATGGTATTATATCGGTGTTTGGCGCCTGCGTTCGGAATAGGTTTTATCGGATCACGCAGCGAAGATGCGCTCGGCTTGCTCTCTTCTCGGTCGGTAACCGCGATGGTGGCTTTACTAGCATCAGAATCGTCTAAATACCAGGGAATATCTGAGGATGAGAACAACCGAGGGTCAGTTTCTCGAAATCGTATTGCTGCTGCCGCCCCCCTTGTGCGGCCAGCAGCGCCTGTCACTGCTAGAAAGACGTTAGGTGAGAACAATCAGCAGAGCATTTTGAACACCACCGTCCTTAGTCCTGTCCTGGACCAGCGCCTGAAACTATCTGTAATAATATGGAAATGGCGGCGGTATTTGGTCTTTGACTTACTCGACATGGTTGTATGGCGTTAATAGCCTGCTCTTGGCTATGCGGGTTCGCCTGGAGTCGTTGAAGCATGAGTTGTGCAGCAAGAGATTGCCACGAAGTCGTGAAGTCGGTAGGTTGGCAAAGAGAAAGTGAGAAATCAGACAAACAAAAACTGGACCAGAGAATCCGACAAAAATCAGAAATAACCTGAGCCGTGCCTTCCCATACCGAACTTTCAGCTTAATCCATTTTTCTTTTTAAATTACCACTCTTCCATCCGTCATCTTTCCACCTAAAACACCATATATCTCTCAAGCCAAGACAGACACCCTGCCTAGGGACATCCAGGCCTTTGAGGAATTATTTTTCAAGAAGTACTGGTCTGTCATAACAGGAGAGTTGCCCGATTATGGTAGGTCACAGTTCCGTGCCAGGTTATTCGAGATGAGTGAACACATATGCATGTCTGAATGAATACATATTTTATACTGAAAACAGTTTCTCGATACGGTCTTTACCGAACTGCTAGGTGATAACATAGTTTACACGGGCCGTGGTAGCTATATTCATAAACTTTGTACACAGTTTTCCCTTCCGACGGGAAAGTAAAAAACTGCGTGTCGGAGATAGTCCCCAGTTTCCATGGGGAATACCGCCATTTTCCCATCAGAATTCTCTAGAATGCATTCTACTACCTTGATGAAGAGGAAAGGGACCATTCCACTCTTCGGCCGGATCAAAAGCACTTCAACAACACAGACCGAAACGCACCATCGGCGTGCACTCAAAGTCCAAGATCAACGCCTCGCCCCCCCCTCAAGCTTTCAAGTCCATATTCGAAGGAAGGTCTGGAGCTATGTATCCTATGTATCTGAAACCTCCCAAGATGTCCATTTTCCTGGAAACCGCCAAAAAGACGACGCAGGGTTTTGGCGACAGTCTTCTTCCCAGTTTGGACGACCTCGCATTCATGCTGCTAGTCGGACTTTACTCCTGCCTCATATTTCTTCTCTTCATCCACATCGCCGATCTGTGTCTCGAGAGAAACCGCGGCCCAGACGGCTTGATTGCACAGCAGCGCCGTATCCGCAGGGCAGAACAACGAAGGCTGCGCGTGGCCGAGCCTCTGCCTATCTACGTTGAAGAAGACCCTATGGAATGGGGACGTTTGCACCCTGATGTGGGTGCTCAGTCATCGCCACCCGCGTACTACACGATTGTCATCGAGCGACCCCCTTCTAATGAGGAGCGGATGCGGGTTGGAAGCCGAACAAACGGCGACACCGCTGTTTTGCCGCCACCTTATGTCGAGCAGGAGGTTCAAACTTTTGAAGCAAACATGCCGGATGATGTGGTGTACATGGTTTGATGGGAACAGGCATGAGAACCAGTTATTTGCAGCCTGTCATAACTATGCCAGGCGCTTTCATAAACAAGGCACACGGTCATCATTGGCCGTTTGTATTCAAAGCAGCAAGTAAGACCCATTGTGTCATTCATTGCCATCGGCATTAATCAAACAAGTTTTATCGTCATCATCTTTATTCTATGACCGCATTTTGAGCCGTTGTGTTTGGCAGACAAGCGTTTGCCGTTGAACCCTAGTGCATTCCGTTGCAGCCGAACAACAAAAGATTTCTCGAAGAGAGAAACACCTTGAAGAGACTGTTTGGTTCCAGAAAACTGCAGGATCATGCAGATAACAGATTCTGTGTAGCATCACGAGCTCAGCAAAACCCAGGCGGCCTCATCCTAACCAAGCTTTCGTGGGTGCAAGGCAATAAACACCTACAGCCATTGTTCTTGTTAAATACCCCCGCTCAGTCTGGGTAGGCTACTCGTTTCCATCTATATTCATTCCATCATTCTTTCACTTACCCTTCTGCTCGACCTTGCCTGATGGAGGCCCAAGATAAGCCCTCCATTCAGCGCAGGTCTGGCAGATAGGCTTTACCTACATTACACGCTGCGATACTATTACTTTTGGCACCGCCAATAAGACTTTCAAAGCCATTCCATTGTAAAAGAAACCTTCTATCCGCTTCCTGTCATCAACCAGGAGTCCAGTTTGTATAACAACGCCCCCAATCTGCTCTGGCGCAGGAGAGAAGCGGATAGCTCCTAGCGATTACTCTGAGAACGCCAACACGGCCAAAGACCGCTGCCGACTTCACAACACGGATCAGGTCCAGATATAGAAGGCAAAACAAATTACCACCATAATCACCCGTCGGGGAGAAGCTTGATGCTACAGCAGCTTTCAAGAGGTCATCTAAAGCAAGCCAGCAGTCCAGAAGGAGCCCCATCAGGAAAATTGACCAGTACTGGTAAGTCATCATCTCCTATACATATCCATTCTTCTCTGACAAGTTTCTAGCATACAAAGGGTACTCATCTCGACTTTGTTGATGCTCAATCAAACCTCAAATGGAACGGGAAATCCGTGAGGAAGCTCGACGGCTTCATGAAGCGGCGGCGTCGGAAGAGCCAACCCATGCTCATCAACACTAAGGAAAGGGACTAAGACGCCGAGGGTATTATACCGTCCCAGATTCTGGATTTCGCAACGTCGATATGTAAGCCCAAATTCACAATGACCCAGGCCAGTACTTGGGCTAGCACCCCGGCCAGCTTCTTCTTCGATGATGAAGATACCATCCAGCCCGGTTCGCCAACCTCCGGACCTCACGACAACATCACTATAGTGGACCAGGTACATGGCCATGAAGGCCCAGCCTTGCCCGCCTTCTCGGCTTCCCGAGACCCCATCTCTCCTGCCAACGACCTCCACGGCCGTGAAGCATCCATCACCTTTCTACTGTAACATACTGCCTCGCGCCACGTCTTCCAACCTATAACGAAGACGATGCAGACGCGAAAACCAAGTTACGAGCCGGAACTGCAGCGGATTATCATCCCTTAGCAATAGGAAGTCTTCATGTGTTTCTCCCATGTAGCTGTAAAGCATCCCGATAGCCCACTAGCGATGCCTCGTCGACCTTCGCCCAAAGAATCAACGAGATAATCTCGCCTCTGCGACCCGACCACGTTGTCACCGTCATTCGCTTGCCGTCGCTAGAAATCGGGCTGAGACGATGTATCTGGAAGATCAAATAGCCCGTCAAAAAATAAGTATTATTCGGTGCTGTAGTTTGAAAAAGAGAGCTCAAGGGACCTACTCTTCCGGCGTTACCAGTCCACCCACCAAAACCTCAGAATACAACTATACAGACAGGCCAAGCGGGTCCTGCCAATGATTCACAGACCCCAGCTGGTGGAAACGACGAAGATTCGCCTCTGTCAAGTGCACCACGCCCTGTTGCCTTTATTACACTACACGGCGGCCAATACTTAATATGTCGGTAGGGTCCTGAGCGCTGTCCTGACCTTGAGTGGCATGCATACGCTTACCATTCGATCTTCCCACAACCAGACGGAGCGAGATGAAGGCACACGTCGCCACGATCGAGGCGGAGGGCAGAGGAAGGAGAAAAGGTGAAGTGAAAACCTTTCGTACGGGCACCCAACTGTTTGAAAACAACCAAACAGGTAGGCACGTACAAAAGGATGGATTTGATTGGCTTGGTGAGTATCACCTCGCATTCATTATTCTCCTAGGGAGAACCCTCATGACGGGCGCCGCGCGCAAGAAGCGAAACCTCCAGGCCCACGTCTCCAGGATTACCAAGGGCCTCCCTAGTACGCCGCAGACGTCAGACCCCGAGGGAGGACGTACGCCGGCCACCAACGACAACCCTGCCACCGGGTCGCGTAACCAAGCAGCCTCGGCGTCGCAAGCCCCCAACGGCGACAAAGACGACAAGGGTGGTGTAAACACCACCTCGCGCGAGGGTCAGTTGGTGGCCTTCGATTACCACAACTTCGTCCTCCAGGACGTCAACACGGAGGAGGCCGCCGCCATTGCCTCCATCAAAGAGGCCGATCTTTCCGCTGCCCTCATTGCCCACGCCGAGGACCCCGAGAGCAACGCCGCTGCCCCCGTCGACCGCAACGCTCTAGACAAGAAGGCCAAGGGCAAGAACGTCGTCACCCACGTCGACGAGGAATCCAACGCCTAGCTTTATTAATCCGTCAATGACGGATTAATAAAGGTGACAATCATGTCTAAGGATCTACAGTTTGTAACACAGGACAAGTGCTACACACTGTAGATAGACAATAGGGACGATGGATGACCCCACAGGCACATGAATAGACACGTGCCCAAGGGGTATATATCTCATCGTCCAATGCCTCCCACTATGGGAGAAAAACCTCAATTGACTATCTACACACATACCTAGCTTTTATAGAGGGTAGCTGTCACAGGACAAGTACGGTACATTGTAGATAGACAGGAGGGACGATAGATAACCCTATAGGCACATGAACAGACATATGCCCAAGGGATATATATCCCATCGCCCAATACCTCCCATTAGGAGAGTCAACCTTAATACACTGTCTACACCTATACCTAGCTTTGTCCTATGTCAATCGCTCAGCTCCTTGTTTATTCCTTGCCTTGTTTCACTGCTCTGCTGTTACACTTTACCTTTGCACTGCGTCGCTTCACGTCACTATCGCAGCCTAGCTCCTCCTGTTAGATCCGCAACGGCTGGCAGGAAGGCTGTGTCAAGTGGTAGCACAGCGCTCTACGCAATTGGCAAGAACCTTGGATCTGCTTAGAGAGTAGGTAACGAGACTAGTAAGTACCTACTTTTGGAATGTATTAACCATTTGTATTAACCATTATCTAGCTACTATTAAGCGCTGAAAGGTGCAGTAGTTAGATGCGTTCTGTAAGCGTCTTACTGCCTTAACTAGGGCTCACTAGAACTAGGGTAAGACTACTGCTATTTCCCCTGAGGAGATAGAGTTAATAGATGTTAGTAGTGTTTAAAGGAGACTTTAGTAAACAAGAGTACTGTCTTAGTACTTTACACTAGTTATAATAACTTTAATTACAAGAGCGAGGAGGAAGTTCCTACTAGCAGCATTGCCCGTCGGCAGATGGAGCCAGGTAACTCCATTATGGTCATGTTGGACATGAATGTTGCCAATGACGGTTTAGTGGTTACCAACTTGAAGAGCCATAGTGGATGTCGTACGAGGAGGATTAATACTGTCACAAGTCAGCAAAGTCAACAACAACAAGGAGAGGGATACGTACAAATTGGGAGTATTGTTGACTGATGTTGAGAGAAGATTGACGTACGAAGAGGAAAGTCGAAGTTGTTGTGTAAAGCAACTGACGTACGTTGATGAGTTGATGAGTTGATGGACCCTCGCAAGCACCAACAAAGCGATAGCTTCCGCAAGAAGCCTTTGCGTCTTACTAAGAAGTCGCAAGATAATGAAGAAGATGACAATACTAGAACAGTTATGAATGATGATGAGAACGATGGGAACTACAGCCAGGATGGAACTTTTACTTGAACGTCTAAAGGTAGATTTCGGTTTCTAGTACTACTATAGTACCACTCCTAGGAAGAGGCATCTCCCTATGATGCAAAGATGTTAATACAATAAAAGTCTTGTTGACAGCCTACTATATTTACATGTTGTTTACTTGTCTTGTGTGAATTCTAATGTCTTGAAATATTCCTACCTTACTATACTAGTTCTACAGATTAATCGAGAATCTATTCTTATCTTATCCAATGTACTCCGTATATATATAGGGATTTTTAGGCTCTATACCTAAAAAAAAAAAAAAAACCATGGTCACCAAACTTACATCAATCCATACCCATAGATAAAAAAAAGAAAAACCAATCCAGTTGTATGGATATCCAAGGATCCCCATGGACTGGATATTTTTAACCCTAGACCGTCCATCCTGGTTCCCAAGTAAATCATCGGAGGCCCAAGATATGTCCTTGGTGACTACGCCTACCACAATGAAGATTTTGTCACAATTCTTTGTCTGGATCTTTCAAAGCGCATGAATTCGAAACGCAACGATGAGACCATCCTAAGCCTGCCTGGCGGCGGTATTGGTTGATGATTGCGAAGTTCTTGTCGGGTCTTGGCTGGTGATCTAAGGCATCGCAGAGGCGTAAGGCAATTGACAAATATCTAATAGTGTTTTCTGAGAAGTATCTGTAGATAGTCGCTATACGAGGGTGAGAGCGTTCGTTACAACATTCTCCGTCATCGAATGGATCTTTGCCCCGCTGTCTGTCATACCAAAACCATCAAAACTTCCTCCCAGGGGAGGAGCAAAACGAAGCAAAAGTCGAGGGCTCAACCGGGATTCGAACCCGGGGCCTCGCCCAGTCAAGCTGTGCTTAAGGGTTGTGGAACCCGAAGGGCGAATCATACCTCTAGACCATTGAGCCGGTCAGTTCCTGTGGAACCGAATGAGTGGTGATTGGTGGCGATTCGTGAGCAATTCTGAGACTATATAGAACTGAGCTCGCTGACTCGTGCGCCATACCATCCCAAGTCCTCGTCATTCACTAACGTGGCTCTGATGAGCGCTCTGTGCGATGAGAACACCTTGTGGAGATAAGAACCTTGACCAGAGACAAAACGTGACAATGTTCTTATCGCGTGCCTGGCGCCTCTCTCTCTCTCAATCGAGTATGCAATCTAAGGCATTTCTCTAGAATCAAGCAACTTTCACTCTTCTCCCATGTATGTAATATGCCCTGCTGTGCGCCTCAACTCGTAACAGTTGGAATCGTGATTTGAAACTCGCCGCAATGATATACATATGTGTACATAGACCGCTCTCATCTCTGCTTTATGCAGTCTTCCCTCCGGGTGTTTCATGTATCAGGCCAAGCCGGCCAACCTCCGAAACGCAACATTGCTCACGACCCTCAGCCCGCCATTCAACGTGACAATGTCCTTGCCACCAGCAGCCAATCCAGAGTCGACCTTACCCATGGCCATCTCCGCCATGAATTTCCCCAGCGCTTCGGTCGGGCTGTGATACGACGGAGCAAACGCCCGTATCGGAGTGCCCAGTACAGTAGCCGTTACTTTGTACGTGACATCCGGGGTCGGCACGTAAGGCTTGATGGCGTCGTGGTCCTTGTTGTCGACATAGGCCGGGCGGATGGACTCGGTCCGCAGGCGCGGGTTCTCGGCGCGCATCTCGGAGAGGGCCGTCTCGGTCTCGCCCTTGACGCGGGCGAAGATGGCGCTGAAGCGGCCCGGCGTCTGGGTCGCGCCCTCTCCCGAGACGTAGACGAAGCGGAAGGGCTCGTCGCCCGGCGCGAGGTCGGCGAAGGCCTTTGCCGCCGCGAGGGCGTAGTCTTTGGTGATTTTGACGTAGGCCCTGGCCGCACGCGGGTGAGCAGGGTGCACGCAGCTTTTTGCGCGCGCGCGCTGGCGCGCCAGTGAGAAGAATTGCTTACTCTTTGCTGACCTGATTCTGGCTGATGCCCAGGGCCCACACGACACCGTTCGCGCCCTTGAGCTTGTCCAGCAGTTCCGTGTCGTACTTTTCGAAATCCTTGTGGATGATGACGTCGACGCGGGGGTCCTTGGCGTCCTCGGCCATAGGGACTGGCCTCCTGCTGAGGACGGAGATCTTTGTGACGTCCTTCATCTTGATCATGGCGTCGAGGACGCCTGAGCCGACCAGGCCAGTCGCGCCGGTGAGGATGAGATGCATGTTTGGAGATGCTTGTCGAGCCGTTCAGGTCGGAGTCTGGCAGAGTGCAGTGCTGTGTTGGAAGATGCGCAATCCAAGGGATAGATAGCCAAGAAGGGACACGAAGGGATAACCAGCGTTGCCATCAGCGGCAAGGCAGCCTTTTATTCATTCACGGAACATCATCTCCGAATCAGGCCGCGCAGGACGCGTGGGCGGTGCGGACGATGCGGACGATGCGGCCGCATCGCCTGCCCCCGAGCGGACTGGGAATCTCCACTGATATCGGAGGTAAGCCACGACAATCAAGTAAGACGCAACGGAAACTGTGCCGGAGTTAGCACTATCGCCACAGGAAAAAAACCATGTGGTGCATGTAAGCTGCAGCTGCGGCCACTCGATTCGGGTACATGCAATCTGGGCGTCAGCTCCGCATTATATCACAATCCAGTCGGAGCAGAAGCTGCTTCGCTTGCTTTCCCAAAGCTACAAACGGGTTGAAAAGCGCCAGAGATAGATAAACTTATCAGCTGCGCCATGACGTCTATCCAGTTCCGCTGGATGCTGCAGTGCAAAGCGTCAGGCTGAATGCCAACGAGAGCTTTTCGTCAACCAACGCCATAAACTCCGCTGCGCTGAGCCTCTGAAACACGTGCTGTTAAGCCCGACAAACGCCTTACGCCGCAGCGGCATTTGGCGCATTAACAAGGGGTGCTCTCCTACTCTAGGCCCTACTCTAGGCCACCCAGCTCGTCGCAATTTGTGCTGTTTCTCTGTGCGAAGCAGCCATCGCAGCGAGCTTGAATATCTTTATGCATCTGACGAGACAGTAGTTGAACGACGACGCGGGCGGTGTTAGCTGTGACGATCGACGGGCGAAGCTTGCAGCTCTTCGCCCGCTCCCGACTCTCGACGGCCATGCATGCGAACCGCTGCACCTCACAAGTATTTTGATCGTAACACTTCGAACGCCTTGCTCTCTTTGTTCGAAAATAGCATGCCCATCACATGATTCGGTGGCTGTCATCCCACACGAGGATTGGACACAGCTTTGGAGTGATTGGCTCTTTGTCCATCAAATCGACGCGGAGCCCGAGAGCCAGGGGAGCACAAACGGGGGCGCTGGATAAGCCAAGTCGACTAGGACCGCAAATGCTCACCCACACGCTTGTTTCTGTTTTGTTGGAGGCCCGACCAAGGACGTGGTGTAGTTGCACTATAAAGTAAGCCGTCGCAAATTCAAATGCGACCTCAGGCTCCGTTCTCGAGTCACCATGCTTTCATCAATAAATCAGTGGCTATTTTCGCTGGATTGGAGAATACCAGCGTCCTGTGACGCATCCGGTCTTCTTCCGGATGACAGAGCAGAGACAAGATCACAACGGTCTTGGGCTGCGAGTATATGCCAACGCAACCTAGGGATGCGGGCCGCCATGCGATGCCGCGTCGGTCCGTCGCCGTTCGGGCTCGCTCGGACTTCCTCTTTTCCCGCGCGGAGAAGCATCTGCCAGAATCCGGATTCACGGAGGAAGAGCAAGTGTCGGCTGTTGCCGAGCCACTTCTTCTCGGATTTCCCATCGAGCGAGGCGGCATATACACGGCATGCCTGAGAGCTGCCCACAAAGACCTGATGAGAGTGAAACACGTGCGTTCCCTGCAGGGAGCAATGGGCCCCGGTTGACGGTTGTCGATGGCAAGGACATGCTGCTGGGACAACCCCGTTGGAGTCCTCATTGTCGCCCCCATCTGAGCATCCGCCGCGACGTTTGGCATTGATGTAAACAAGGGTCACCCATAAAACCCCCACGGGGAGCCACGTGCTCTACTACTGCATGATGGACAGAGTCGCCTTTGGTTACAGTGACATGCGGAAAGTCTAAAGTCATGTGGGTAAGGGGATTAGTGGTTGACTTCAGACTTTCTGCATCTCACCGTAGCTGTAAGCGGTGTCTTGAGGGGCTCTGAACGTTCATCCGGCCCTGAATCTACCCCGGCCCATAATGCGTGATCGACCAAGATACTATGGGCGTTCTACGCTCTAGCTGCAACTTTCCTTGGCCCATCAGCCCTCAGTCGGAGAGGTTTTTTTTTTTAATACCTCGGAGGCGTATCTAATGAGACATGGAAAGATATACAGTCATACCAAATTGTCGCAGGGCTCGAAGAGAACACAGGAGACGTGTCCACACCTGTGTCATGCAAAGACGATGATGCGATTCCGGGCAACACGCTCGACAGAAGAAAATTTGCACCCGCCGATGGCCGGCTGCGAAAACGAACGCCACCCTCGAATCAGATGCAGCCGAAGCCAAGCCCTGCCGTGAGGCCTGGCCGGCTTTGGCGTCCAACAACGGCCCGATCGAGTGGATCGAGTCTGTAACGCCAACAACGACCGGTGTTCTGGATACATAATACCTCTCGACGCCATCCCGTCTCCCTTGGGTCCCGTCAATGCGAGGGGGGGAACAACCTGCCGCGCTGAGTCTACGGCCGACCTTATATTGTGGCGGCCGGGGAAAACCCCGGCCTTTTCCCCGAAGGGAGCGCGATCTAGACGGCTCCAGACACGTCTGGGGAACGTATGATAACCCGGGGTCTCTCTTCTATGAAGTGCAGCATGCACGAGACAGCCCTCGTATCCGCAATAGCTGTGTGAGCAGCGCGGGAGGGCAGAGAATATGCGGCACCCAGCAAGCTCGCCTAGGCGCCTGCAAGCGAGATTTTCTTGAATATCGGACCATCTCCGCAGCCCCAGCTTGCCTGCCCATGGGGTTAGTTCTCCGTCCATTCTACGGGGACTGGGGTATATGGTATTTGCGGAGGTTGTTGGAGTAGTCGACTCGAACCACGCCAACAACCTGCAGGGGATCTATCAAGGCTCCGGGGTCAGGCCGGTTCACTTGATTCCATCTGACAGCCTCCTCCCAGTCCATTGGGAGGCACATGGGGTAAGTCGACGGTGAGCTTGGCCAGTATTCCCACCGGCATCGTCGCAATCTACCAAACAAGTCTGTTCGGGAAGCCTCCTCCGTCGCCAGCTTCTCTCTCGACCACCCCGATTCTTTCTCATCACGCTAATACCGATCGCGCCCAGCTTTCGCTGCATGTCCCCCCCCCCCCCAGCGCGGAACACTAGGAGATCAGCTCGGCCAAACTACCGGGCGCGCTAAGAACGTAGGCGCTGACCTGCTCCACGGGCAGTCGTCTGGCAACATTCCAACGAGCTTCTAGCGGTTCTGCCAAAACGACGCAGTTTCGGCGGCGGCATTCACTCCGGCCCCTCCTCGTCATTGGACAGCCTGAGGCTTGGCGGAATCAGCATCGCGCTCTTGAACAGACACGATGCCAAGCCGGTTGACTCTCTCCTCCCTCCCGCGCCTTTCACCCCTTCCACCCCCCGCACGAACTAGGTAACGCCCCTTCCCCGGGGGTTAGTGTGCTTGGTTTGCTTGGCTGCCGCAGCGAGAATCAGCGAGAGAATGTGCGGCCGGCCGTATTGCGGAGTGTTGGTGAGACGGTCTTCTACCCGGCTTCGTGGCGAGCCGGCAGTCTTCTGCTTCGCCTTGCTACAAACCCGGCCGCACTGGTTTTCTTGGTGTTTTTTTTTTTCCCTTCCATACTGGGCAGCCAGGTCTTGGTCGTCTCTTGGCGGCTCGAAAGCCCGACAGCACGGGCGAGCCTAGCGTCTTTTGGGTGTTTTGTTCCGTCGGTCTGCTTCGCGCCGTCAGAGTTCTTCCCTCCGTTTCTCTCCGGCAGAAGAAGACTACGCAGTACAACATGGCCCCTCGTCGTGTCGACCATGTCGAACATTGGAAGCTAATGCGGACACCGGATCAAGACGTGACCCATGCGCAAACCGCTTGCCCATAGGGAATATGCCTGGGGGTGGACTGCTGGGGCTCAACGGACTAACAGCCCACGTCTCAGTCGCTGCCCATGGGGATATCACAGGTCACGTCGCAAACATGTTTGGATAAAAGGCGGTTGCTTCCCCAGACTCGAGGTTTTGGTTCTCATCATAGCTCACAGCCCAGGCAGCCCCCTTCCCCAGTCAACCCGGTAGTCTCTTATACCTCAGGAAGCACTTATACTAGATCATCTTCCTCCTTTTCACCTCCAAACACCACTACTCCCGATATTGCTATCAAATAGACTGTCCATCACAATGGCTGGCGGCGCCCCCATTGTGGCTCCGGCCGTGTCCGGCGGCTACCTCACCGGCCGAGCCCTCATCTTCCCCCTCTCGCTCGTCATCTCCCTCTTTTTCCTCTGGGGGTTTTCCTACGGCCTGCTCGATGTCCTCAATAAGCACTTCCAGACCGTCCTCGGCATCAGCAAGCTCGAGTCGACCGGCCTCCAGGTCATGTACTTTGGCGGCGGGTACCTCCTCTTCTCCCCCGTCGCCGCCGAGGCCCTGAAGCGCCGCGGCTACAAGTTCACCATCCTCATGGGGCTGTCCCTTTACTCCCTCGGCGCTATCCTGTTCTGGCCCGTCGCCCACGCGTCCCTCTTCACGGACAACAAGCGCGCCATCTTTGGCGGCTTCTGTGTCTGCACCCTCGTCATCGCCTGCGGCCTCGCGACCCTCGAGACGTCCGCCAACTCGTACGCCGTCGTCATCGGCAAGCCCGAGACCGCCTCGGCCCGTCTCCAGTTCTGCCAGTCGTGGAACGGCGTCGCCTCCTTCATCGGCCCCCTGATCGCCTCCAAGTTCTTCTTCGAGGGCGCCAACGCCAACTCCCTCACCAACGTCCAGTACGTCTACCTCGCCGTGTCCTGCGCCGGCGTCGCCGTCGCCGCGCTCTTCTTCTTCGCCCGCCTCCCCGAGGTCAGCGAGCAGGCCCTCGAGGAGGCCGGCCCCGGCGCCGACGCCCTCGGCCGTCCCGTCGGCCAGGGGCCCCTCTACAAGCAGTTCAACCTCATCTTCGCCTTCATCGCGCAGTTCTGCTACGTCGGCTCCCAGGTCACCGTCGCCACCTGGTTCATCAACTACGCCCACGAGAACGGCGGCCTGTCCGACTCCCAGGGCGCCAACTTCCTCTCCTTCTCCCTCATGACTTTCACCGTCGGCCGCTTCGTCGCCACCGCCCTCGCCACCGTCTTCCAGTCCGACTTCCTCCTCATGATCTACGCCGCCGCCGCCATCGCCCTGACCGCCTACTGCACCGCCGGCAGCGGAAAGGCTTCCGTGGGCGTCCTCATGGCCATCTTCTTCTTCGAGGCGCCCATGTACCCCATCCTCTTCACCCTCGGAACCGCCAACCTCGGCCGCCACACCCGCCGCGGCGCCGGCATCATGGTGCAGGCTGTCGCGGGTGCTGCCGTTTTCGTGCCGATCCAGGGCGCCATCGCCGATGCCGCGCACATCCGGATCTCGTACATTGTGCCCCTCGTCGGCTTCACCTACGTCGTGGGCTACGCCATCTTCCATTGGTTGCGCCACGGCCGCAACATCATGCGCGTCAAGGAGGCCGAGCAGCCCGCCGTCGATACCGAGACGGAGGATATCGCCATCGACGGAGACGAGAAGAAAAAGACCGACACGTGGGTGGAGAGTGTTTAGGGGGGCAAGAAAAGACGTGATACCCAACCCGATGACGAGTTTACGAGTTTTTAATTGCTTTTCTTTCTTCCCCATGTAACACACACTGCCCATGCGTCCTCGAAACGTGGCAAAAGCCAGCGGCATGACGGGGGGCACCGTATATAGATTATACTAGATTAGAGATGATCATAATCTAGACGTTTCACTCTGCAGGAAAGCGATGCCTTCTTGTTTTCGCTGATCCTACTTCATTTCAAGCATCGTGAAAGCTTCACTAAGCCAGCATCTAGTGGCCCGCTTTGATTAACATTAATTTAATGCTCTTACGGCATCCGGCATTACCGGTTCCTGGGAGGAGAAACTCAACTCCCCCCCTTGAACCGCCTACACAAACAACGCCATGCCTGCAACAAGGCTGACGAGAGCTGCGGCCGCCGCGGCGATTCCGGGTTTGAATTTTCCTGTGCCGGCCAGCACGTTCCCGCTGGAGGACAGAAAGGGCTTCTGCGCCTCAACGCGGATCCCATCGACGAGCCTGTCTTTCTTGGGCGTATAATCCGCCCCGGTAAAGTTGCACTGGATCATAATAATGTCTAGGCCTGGAAACGATCAGTGACTGGTCCCAGTCGAGGAAAGCAAAGGCCGTTGGAGGGGAGGGGAGGGGAGAGGGGGGGGCGACAAGACAAAGAAAGTATGAAGTTCTCCGGACTTACTATCCGCCCTGTTTCCGGACTTTCGTATACAACTTTGACACAGACCCGCGAGCAGCTGTACGTCGAAGCTTTTGTTGGTGCAAGTGCAGTCTCTTTCTGCGTTCTCGCGAATCTCGTCCTGGCTCGGCTGCTTCTTGGGATCGCCACCCACGACGGGTTGCGGAACGGGATCGCTCGAGGGCGACTGGGGCGGGGATTGTTGCGGTGGCGTGGGCAGTTGCTGCGGCGGCGTTGTCTCTGTTGAGGATGAGGGCGGCAAGGGAGACGATGAAGAGGAGGAGGAGGAGGAGGAGGGAGAGGTTTGGCGAGGCGGCGTGGGGAGCTCAGGCGGCGGTTGTTGCGGTTGTGATATTGACGATGGCCGCGGTAGAGGTGGTGGTATTTCCGGTTGCGGAGCGGATACTGCCGGAGTAGACTGTGCCGGTGGCGGAGCCTGTATCGGTACGGTTGCCGCCGGCGGCGGCATCGTCAGGAAGACGGTCGAGGTGACTGATACTGGCGGGGAAGGCGGGAGTGCCGGAGGTAGTGGAGGTGGCAAAGATAGCGGGAGGGCACTTGTTGGTGTTTTTGATGTCGTGGGGCTCGTCGTGGAGCTCGTCGTGGAGGTGGTCGTCCTCGTGGGCGTTCTCGTTGTCGAAGAGCTCGTAGCTGTGGACCTTGTGGATGTACTCGTCGAAGTGCTCGTCGAGGACGTCGATGTGCTCGACGGTAGCGGTGACGACGTGGTCACAGGCGGAGGAGGAGTGGGTGTGGGCGTGTTCTGAGTACTCGACGTGCTCGTCGTCGTATCCGGATCCGGGGCAACAAAGGGAAGCGTGGCGATGAAGACCGGCGTGGTCTCCCCGGCCTGCTGCGCGTCGGCAGCTGTAGGCGCCGCTCTTTGTCTCCGGGCCGACGTGGACTCATCTCCTCCGCCGTCGCCGTCCTGTGGCGGACGGCGGTGATGGCGGCGCGCCACCCCGTGACGGCCGACCCCTGAGCCATGCTTCCCTGCTTGCCTCTTTTCCGGAGGAGGCGGGTTCGCAGGCGGACCGTCGAGCTTCCGCCTCTTCAGCTCGTCGAAGCTGCCGTCGATGTCGCATTTGTACGTCAACTCGACGATGGGCCCGCATATCGTCGCGCACTCGACGGGGACTTCGTCGACCTTCACCTCCCTCGCCTTCGTCAGCGCGGCGAGGCCTGAGAGGACCAGCACCGATGTGTTCGCCCCCCTCATCCTTTCCCCCCCTCTCCTTCAAGCTGCTGCTGTACCCGTAAGGGGTTCTTTCGTATATCAGTCCCGTGGTCAAGGGACAGGCCGCCTGGGTATCGAGAGCCTCCAGGTAGGCGTATAACAAGGCTGAGCGAGATGGTGAGAGCGTCGACCGGCGTCGAAGGGACAGCGCGGACTGATTGTTGCAAGGAAGATCATGCGCACATCATCCAAAAGAATTCCTGCCAGGAAAGGACGACGTTTTCCAGGACGCCGCCTATATCAGACAGCTCTCCTCGCCCATTCTGACCCTCGGATCCTCACATCATCCCGCCCAAGCCGCAGCTGCTGCTGCAGCATGCCGCACCTCAGCCCGCCACAGTAGCATGAGTGGATGAAACGGCGCGCCCCCAAGAAAGGCAAAATGGAAAGGTCGGACGGGTGGGAAAAGCCAAACGGTTGCTGCACCCAATGTACGCTCAATTCACTGACCAGACCAGGAGAGTGACGAAGGCCGGCCAGCGCAGATCGCCGCCTCTTGACCTATCAGCTAACACGGCCCCCCGCACTCCTCGAACGCAGAGTCAAGGCATCGGGGGCTTGAAACCCGTCTGGGCAGGGCAACGGCCGCGATCGTGCAAGATTGCCTACCTGTATCGGCAATCTGGGTTCGAACGAATCGTCTCACTTGACCCGGAAACAAAAGCATCGCATGGCGGTGTGTGGGCGAAGGAGCCACGACGTGAAACAGCGAACAGACTGCCCAACCGATGCTGTCCATGGGCGACGCGTTGCAACTCAGAACCGTCCATTCTCTCTGCCAGCCAATCCGGTGGCTCGCGACACCCAAGAGAAACGGGAAATAGTTAGTCATCAGAAACAAGACGGGTGTGCTTCATAGGAGGGGGGAGGGGGCCGGCTGGCTCGGCGGTGGTGTGTAATCTGCCGGGGAGAGGCGAACGCAACCCGCAAAGTAGAATTGATGCGTTCGGCTTGCGGCCTGCGGCAGGGCATCGTCGCCTGTGATGACGATGATATTCAATGTGTAACCCGCAAGGCCAAAGCTTGAATATGCCGGGAGGTCCCCGACCAAGGGGCATCGGGAATCCGGTTATCGTGAGAGCGCCTCGACGTGATCAACCCCCTCTCCTTTCCGCCGGCCGACGATCGCCGGTCGACCACACACGCCACATGCATCAAGCACTCTATCTGCTGAACCTATCAACGCCACCCCGGACCGTTGTCTCCGTGGTTTCCCCAAATCCTGCGGTTCAGAAAGCCTAGAACCGGCCCCGCGCCATCCTCAGATGAACTTTGCAAGACCCGGACCTGAATCGGGTCTGTCCTCGGCCGGTTCCGACCTTTTAAGCAGGAAACCCCTCGACTCGTTTGTGAAACACGGCTCGTGAGTGAGAGAGGAGGGAGAGAGAGGGAGAGAGAGGGAGAGAGAGAGAGAGAGAGAGAGAGAGAGAGAGAGAGAGAAAGTTGGGAGGACGAGCCTGCTTCATACACGCATCGGATGCCGAGTTGTGGTGGCGAGAGGGAACCGGTGGGCTAGAGTTCAGTCGCCTCACCCTTCTCGAGGTTCAAAGCCCAGCCAGGCGTCCCCCCTCCCGTTCTGACTCTTTGCGATTGCGAGCCGCACTCGGATGGCTGGGTCCCAGGAGAGTAGCCTTTTCAGGGGTATTTTTTTTTTCTTCTTTCTTCTTTGGACGATGGCAAGAGAGTCGTTTCGTTTTCCTCAGTGTTAGTATTGTTGCTTCATAATCGTCGTCGTCGTTGTTGTAGGCAGAGGATTTATGAATTTATTATTGAAAAGCCATCTGAATTCTCCCGTCTAATAATGCTGACCTCGGCCGTGAAGCAGCCATGCCCATCGAACTCCCCAAAGAAGAGTGACGGAAATAGCCCTGCCAAGAAATAGAAGCCTTTTTCTAAATTAAGTGTTTGGTTTGGTAAACCGAGCCTCGATCCCTCACTCCCCCCAACTCTCTCTCTCTCTCTCTCTCTCTCTCCCTCTCTCTCTCCCTCAGTTCCGTCCCCGTCCCCCAATGCTCTCGACTCGAACCCCCAACTTTGCCATGCTCTTGGCGTTGATGACCCCCCTTCCGTCAAATACCCACCGGGGAACTTGCATATCGCCCGCCACCCTGGCCCAGTCCACCCTCTCCTTGGGCTTGTACTCCTCTGTGCCGAGCCCGGTGGCAAACCCGGAAACCTTGCTATCCAGCTCCGCCCTGCAGTCGGGGCAGTCGTCCGCGCATCCGGGCTCCGCGACGTACCGCCCGAGCGGGTCGTCCGAAGGAGCCCCAGGCCCCGCTGACCGGTCTTGCTGCGCCGCCAGGAACCGCTGAAGCGCCAAGACATCGGCCTGGCGGACCTCCACGCTCCTGAACGGGCGCGGGTCAACGTCCGCCCTCGGTGATGCCGTATCTGGGCGGGGGGGTTGATGAGGCGGCGTCTTTGTGTTGCGGAACTCGTCGAACTCGGTGGTGATGAGCACGGCGTTGCTGCCGCGGCAGGCGTCGTAGGCGTTGCCGTACACCGTCAGAGGCCCGCCGTCCTCCTTCAGGGGGCTCTTCCCGCCGCAGAGGCGGCGGATCTCGTCGCGGACGACGAGCGGGTTGCAGCAGGGGTCGAAGACGGCCATCTCCCGCGGCCCCTCGACCAGCAGGGCCCGGATGATCTCGAGCGCCGGCGACTCCCTGGTGTCCGAGGTGTTCTTCTTGAAGGCGTACCCGAGGATGGTGATCTTCTTCCCCGCCAACGTGTTGTTGAGGCGCTTGACGACCCGCCTCGTGAAGCGGTCCCGCTGGTACTCGTTCATCGTGACCACCTGCCTCCAGTACTCGCCGACCTCGCCCAGGTCGAGCGACTCGGCCAGGTAAACGAGGCTGAGGATGTCCTTCTTGAAGCAGCTGCCGCCGAAGCCGATGCCGGCCTTGAGGAACCCGTCGCCGATGCGGGGGTCGCGGCCCACCGAGGCGGCGACCTCGTCGACGTCGGCCCCCGTGCGCTCGCAGATCGCGCTGATCGAGTTGATGCTGCTGATGCGCTGCGCCAGCATCGAGTTGGCCACCAGCTTCGCGAGCTCCGACGACCACACGTTGGTCGTGAGGATGCGCGCGCGAGGCACCCAGGCCGCGTAGACCCCCGCGAGCGCCTCGGCCGCCCGCCTCCCCGAGCTGGTCGTGTCCGATCCGATGAGGACGCGGTCCGGGTGAAGCAGGTCGTTCACCGCGGTGCCGGCTGCCAGGAATTCGGGGTTCGAGAGGATCTCAAAGTCAACCCCGGGCCGGTGCGCGGCAAGCTGTGACGTATGACACCCGGGTTAGTCCGTCCTGCGAGCCCGAGAAAAAAAAAAGAAAAAGAAGAAAAATGCGGGTTGGGACTCACAGTCTCGCGCACAAGCTCCGCCGTCATGCAAGGCACGGTGGACTTCTCGACGATGATGGCCCCCGGCCTCGCGTGCCTTGCGACCTCGGCGGTGACGGCCTCAAACGCCGCCATGTCGGTGGCACTGCCGGCGCCATGCCCTCGCGTTTTCGTCGGCGTGTTCACCGCGACCAGGACGATGTCCGCTTCCGCGATGCACCCGGAAACCTCGGTGGAGAAGAAGAGATTTGGTTTCCTTGCAGATGCAGTGATGCCCCCCTTGCCGGTGCTGCTGCTGCTGCTGCTGCCGCCGCTGCTGCCGTCTGGGCCGCACTGACTTCCGCAATCGGACGACGCGGACGACAAGGACGAAGATGGGACGTTTGAGCCTCCCAGCTTGGCGGGCTCGTTCTGGAACGAGCACGCGTTTGCGCCGTCTCTGGCGACCCTCACGATGTCCCGGAGGCCGGGCTCGTATATCGGGGGGTGCTTCGAGTTCCACCGCCGGATGCGCCGCTCGTCTCTGTCCACGACGGTGACGCGGATGTGCGGGTTTTGGAAGGCGATGACCGCGGCAGTCGGGCCGCCTGGGAGATGGGATCAGAATGGAAGGGGAGGGGGAGAAAGAGAAGCTTCTCCAGACTGGGGGGTTTTCCAATTCATATCTCACCTACGTAGCCTGCGCCCACGCAAGAAATGTTGGTGACCGGCGTGCTTCCGATGCTGGCCGCGGAGGCGGCATGGCCCCCTCGGTCTGAGAGGAGTTCCCCAAAGGCATCGTCGCTCATGCAGTCCCCGTCCTCGACGAGGTTACTTTCTGCTCGGACGACGGGACTGAAGGTAATGCTTCCCTCGGGCGTCGTGGGCACCGTAGAGGGCGGATGGAAGCTGGCGTCCTCGGCGTCGTCGATCGAGGCCGGCAGAGCGGTCCCGTCCAGGTTGTACATCGTCGGCCTTTGTCGATGCGAAAAGAGCCTCTTGAATATTCACGTGTCGCGGCCAAGTCAGAACCAGGGCTTCGGGAGCTGTATAAAGCAGAGGCGGGAAGCGGTTTCTCCTTGCGATAGGACCCTGGCCCACCGTGGGAGGCTTCGTCCGATGGGCGACGCGTTCGTTTCACTATCTTGGATTGGGTATGGTTGGGCTGGTGGCGGCCGTGCGGAACAGGCGGCTTGATGAGACCTGACGCGGCTCGCGAACGCTTGAACTCACTAGCGTTGTCTGATTACGATATCTCTGGGGAAACACACGGGAGGATCTTGAACGGCTTCGAGGGCTTGACGCGCGTCAGTCAACCTGGCTGTTGGGAAGCCGGCGACCTGCGACAAGGATCGATTGTGCCGAGATCCGAGAGTCGCTGTGAAATAGGGGAGATGTCAGCGACGTCGTCAGTCGGGATATGATTAACGGTTTAAAATTATGCAGAAAGGCTCTTCGACTATTGACTCCTGCGTCGCGGGAGGCTGGACTACTTGAGGAGGCATGTTCTGTAGCCGTCCCGTCGCCAAGCTTATTCCGGTCCATGGCGATTCGGCGCGTGGGCAAGATGTTTGTCGATACCAGACCTAGCCCATCTCATCACGGTTTGCCCCTCCACGGTAAGGAGGACGCAGGGGCGAATGACATTCTTTGAAAAGCCCAATCGTGTA